ACTTTAAGTTATAAAACTGTTCCTGTAAATAATAACTTTGAAGGCAAATGTGTTTGAGGCTTTTGGCAACACTCTCAAGATAGTCTTTATTCTATGGTTGCAGCAAGAAAACATAACTGCCAAGTTAGACTCAATTAAGAAGGAACTATTTTTACAAAAAGTTAATACATTCAGCCATATCCATCAGTTTACAAAGTAAAGGTTTGTGTACACTGCTCTGCTTCTGAGCAGATGTGGCAGTGCAGCTTAACAAAACTTGCTGACTGTTTTGCTAAAGAATGACTGACACAGCTTTCAAAATTCTTAACAGGCATTAATCAAAATACTAAGATTACTGTAACTGAGGCACTAATACCGCTTTAAACAGTCACAAGCACGCCACATGATTTGACACTGTATAGGGCACTAATATGGCATGAACGTGCTGCAGTGCCTTGGAGATCTGTAGAGTGCAGCAGAAATCAATCGCATGGAATTAACAGGGAAGAACATGTAGTTAGAAGTGGAAGAGGAAGTAATGACTGCTCCCTGGCCCTGTGTAAGACCCAGTAAGACCTGTAAATTAGATACAGAATATGAGAGTGACACCACCTTGTGTCCGCTTCAGGTTAAGCTGGCTTGTGCATTCTAGTGATTTCCTTAACAACCAGGGCTTCCTGGGACTGATTAGTTCTACAACCACCCCCTTTTGTTCCTGTAACTTTTCCCCTTTGATTATCAAATATTCTGCCACAGTGTGCACTCTCCCCAGGAGACTGATATAAAATCACCTTCCCTTGAAAAGATTAAATGCAATGAATTTTAAAATCCAATTTTGCCTCTTGTCATGGAGTAGCCGAGTTTGGCTTCGTTGTTGATGAAGGACATCAATCCCAGGTAGGTTTCGATCAGGAGAGGACGCTCCAGCACTAGCACACCGTTAGCCCTTCCTGGCAATGGACACTCCTTGTGGGCCTTCTTCACAGCTTGAATTAGCTGGGTTTTAAAGTCTTCCAACTGAAAGAAAAAAAAACCACCAAGATGTTCTTCCATTGTTTTAAAAAGTGTTAAGCTTTCACAGGCAAAGAGCTGCTGATGTTGAAGTTTAAAGCATTAACACTAAAGCTGTAGTTGTGATGAACCTTGCATGTCATAACCTTTACTTTCTGACATTTAATATGGAGAATGGGGAGACAGCTTGCAGCTCTAAGTTTTGTCTTTAATTTATCTGCTTCTGTTCGATTTACCTGCTGTGTCTTTTCAAACTAATCTAAGTAGTATCCAGCCTATGATACCAAGAAGTCATCTAGAATAGGAAAGGCGATTTCCTTACTAGGCAGAGGGATGTGATCTTCTCATCAGCATCTGCCATGGGATGTTCGGTGAAGGTGGCGTACGGGACGCTTGTGGACCATGGGTTCCATCGGCTGATGAAGGAGGCACGGCTTTGCTTGTCCCACTGAATGCGAACCCCAACGCCTTCTCGCCTGATGTGGAGGACAGCAGAATTGACACAGAATTCTTTTAGTCTTTGCAGTGAGTTTAATTAGAGGCGTACCTTCTGAAAGAGTCCTACTTAAAACTGGCAGCTAAACTGTTTGGTAATACGCTTTTCTCTAGGAAAGTAATAAAATAATTAAACATTAAGTAATTCCATCCCTGAAACACTGTAAAGAGACATTCAGCTAAGTGCAAAAAGGTAAAGCTGATGAGACATCTAGGACACAAAGGCCTAAGCCATATTGTCTGCAGTGACCTACACTTCGGTATGACCTGACCTGTACTCCTGGCTTTCTAATAATGCTCCGGTGCTGCTGCTGCTCACTGTGTTATCTAATAGCAATGAACTTCTCCCACATCTGCTGGTCTTGTCCTGGAGCAGCTCGCTTTTAATGCAACTAGTAAGTGTCCAAGCAAGACCGCAGCTACTCTGATCTTCCAATGAAGTTTCAGTAACTGTAAATGAAGTCAACGAGTTAACAGCAGCAAGAGGAAGAATTCTCAAAAGGTGCCCAATGTTTAAAACCACAGGTTGTCAGACCACGCTACTTAGGGTAATGCTACAATATTGCTGCATCAACTTACTTGTTCAGAGATTTAGGTGGGAACTCAAACTCTCCTACAGAGATGGTATCAACTGCGTTGAGTGCGATCCTCGTCACGTGCTGGCACTGCAGGCTGATGAAGTCGTATTTACAGACCAGAAGGGACCGGTCTGTGATGAGCACAAGTCGCTCCTTCTCGTTGTTCCAGTGGTCAATTCTGGGAAGGTAACGAGAAGGAGCCTTAGGGGTCTTCTTGGCTGTTGCCACGTTGCTTGGCGTTGCCACATTTACTAAATCAATAACTGCATTTGTGCAAGGACAGGGTAGAGAAATAGTCTTCTGTAACTGTGCTGGTGACTTAACATTTTCATCTGGAAGCGCATCTGCACACCCAAATCGTCAGTTTCCTCACGTTTAACACAAGATCTTACCTTTCCCTGCATGTTTTTCCACCCTACCTTCTTGAACAGCTGAGACAACTTCATCCTCAGGGCATCTAAAGCTGCTCCTACTTTCACTCTGAGGGCGATGAAATCAGCATTCAAACTTGACACCTACTAGAGCTTATTCTTACCGCTTTGACTGTTAATAAACATCGCTTCACCAGGAATGGAGACATAAAGCTGATAAGACCACGATTATTCTCGTGGTGCCATGGTGAATTACAGCCCGGGGCTGCACAGAGCCTCTGTGGGTGCCAGGGCACGCTCCCTGCTGCCCCGAGGTGTGCCGTGGGTGCAGCCTGGAGCCGGCTGCTGCCTGCAATGGGGAAACTGGGGCCAGGAAATGAGGGTAGGGGGGCTTGGGGCTGGGATTTCGGCTCTGGGGGCTCAGAAATGGGGTCTGGGGGCTGGGATTTCGGGGCTGTGGGCTGCCTGCAGCCAGCAGCAGCTCCTGCCTGGCCCCCAGCCCCTCACATTCCGTCCCCCCCCGTTCAGCTCCGCTCACCGGTGAGGGCCCCTGTACCCCATCGCCCCCCCCCCCAGCCCCCTTTTACCCCCCATTTCCCCCCCCCAGCCCCCTTACTCCGCCAGCAGCCACACGCTCTGCACCTCCCCGTCCTCGGCGGGTGTCAGCACGGCGCGGATCTCCCCCACCGCCTGCTCCACGGCTCCGGGCTGCGGGGAGAGAGAGCAACGGTGAGGCGAGAGGGGGGGGAAATTTGGGAAAAGGGGGGGGTGGGAGCCGGGGCCGGGCCCTACCCGGAACACGAAGAAGTCCCGCAGGCGGCCGCGGCGGGTGGCGGTGCGCACGGGGAGCGGCCGCAGGCTCTGCCGGGCCGGGGGAGCCGGGGGCCCGCGGGGGGACAGCGGCACCGGGGCCGCCACCCCCAGCACGGCCGCGGGGCCGCAGCCCCCCGGGGGGCCGCCCGCGGCATCGCCCAGCGCCAACATGGCGGGGAGGGGCGGGGCCGGGCCACCAGGGGGCGGGGCGGAGGGGGTGGGGACGGGGAGGGGGCGGGGCTTGGGGGAGGGTTAGGGTTAGGGTTGGAGTTAGGGTTGGGGTTTTATTTGGAGTTGGGGTTGGAATTAGGGTTAGGGTCTAGGGTTGGGGTCGGAGTTGGGGTCAGGGTCAAGGGTTAGGGTTAGGGTTGGATTTAGGGTTAGGGTTGGATTTAGGGACGGGTTAGATTTAGGCTTGGGGTTAGGCTTGGGGTTAGGGTTAGATTTAGGGTTCAGGTCAGGGGTTAGATTTAGGGTTAGGGTCAGGGGTTAGGTTTAGGGTCAAGGGTTAGTTTTAGGGTTAGATTTAGTGTTGGGGTTGGATTTAGTGTTCGGGTTAGGGGTTAGATTTAGGGTTGGGGTTGCTTTAGGGTCAAGGGTTAGATTTAGGATTAGATTTAGGGTCAGGGATTAGATTTAGGGTTAGGGTTATATTTAGCATTAGGGTTTTGGTTCAGGTTAGGGTTTGGGTTAGAAGGGTTAAGGTTTGGGTTAGATTTAGGGTTAATGTTTGGCTTAGGTTTACGTTTAGGGCTAGGATTCAGGTTAGGTTTAGGGTTAGGGTTCAGCTTCATGTCTGGCCTTGGGTTCAGGTTTTGCTTTTTGTTTATGTTTGGGGTAGGGGTAGGGTTTGGGGTGGCCGCACTGGCAGTGGTGTCACCGAGCAGGGCTTGCACCAGCCCAGGCCCTCGCCCGCTGATGGTGCTGAGGACACGGGGCAGGGGCGCAGATTGTGGCCGTGACCCCACTGCCCAGAGGCACAGCAAAGGGCAGCCGCAAGCTGGAGCCCCGGCAGCAGAGGTGAAATGATGGGGGGGAACCACGGCAAGTTCACGTTTGTATTTCCCCAGCCTCTGTCCTTATTGCGGATATTTTCTCCGCTCTTTTTAGAGCCCCGCTGCCTCCCTGCTGCACCCAGCCAGGGGGTGACACCTGCGGCAGGCGGCCGTGCTGGGGGTGGCACGGGGCTGGAGCCACCCCGACCTGACCCCCTCTGAGTGCGCTGCCTCCGCTCCGCGCCCTCCTGCCCGCAGCCCTCGCTCCCACGAGCACGGGGGGACAGGGGGACAGCAAACCTCGCCTGGAGAAGGGGCTTTCGGAGGGCACCGCGGGGCTGGCTTACAGCAGCGAAACCACTGAGACTACAAAACCTCTCACCGAAATACGTTATTTATTAATAAAACCTTCCTAAGGGCTGTCACAGCTCTCCTCTGTGCGGGTGTTTCTCAGAACTCGGGTTCCCCGCTGCCAGCCCGACGTGGCGCTCTGCTGCGCCTTCCCCGTGAGCCCCGCACACAGAGCCCGACTCCCTTGGGGAGAGAGCAGGGTTTTTTTCTGTTGGAGTGTGTAGAAGGAATGAATCTTTGCAGGATGCCTTAGATGGGCTGGAAAGGGCTTTGGGATGGTGTGGATAGAAGTTGCCCTTGGTAGTAGTGCAAAGGGGCTGTCGGGGAAACAAACCCACAGCGTCCCGCAGGGTTCCCCCTCCTCTGGTGGGAGGGATTTGAGGCTGTCAGCGAGAGGAGAAAGGAGAGCGTGTGAGCCAGAGGAGCTGGACCTGGGAAAGCAGGAGGGAAGTTTGGCTGCTCGGTGGAAACGCCGGGGGGCTGCTGGCTCCGTCTCCGGGGCAGCGAGGAGGGAAGGCAGGATGGCCGCGGCCCCGCAGGTGGGCTGAGCGAGCTCACCGCCTGCTGCTGGGGCAGCCCTCGGGGTTTGGTGCCTGGGGGACACCCCGGGGAGCTCCCCGCTTCATCCATCCCCTGCTGGGTGCTGGGTACACGCTGCCTGGCCGCGTGGCACGGGAGCACAGAGCAGCAAAACCCCCATGGGGCTTCGCTGCTGGATGGGACCTGGCCCCAGCGAGCCCCCGGGGCTTTGCACCTTGCCGGGAAGCAGAGGCCAGAAGGAGCAGCCAGCCCCACGCTCCTCGCCGCGAGCAGACGGGTGCGAGGAGCCAGGTTTGGTTCTGGCAGCAGCCCAGCGGCGAGCTGCGTCCTGACCACGTCCCACGGACGGGGGAACCGTGCTGAGCCCGACCCGACAGGAGGAAGCCTCCAGGAGTGATAAATCCACCCAGCGGAGCCCAGCAGGGATCCCTGCGTGCCGGAGAGCATCGCCCGTCGAGGAACGAGGACCTGCCCGTGTGCTCCAGGTGCCCGCGAGGTCTCCGAGCTCCCACTGGTGGCACCTGGGGAGCAGAGAGGAGCCGGAGCCATGGAGCCTCCTGCGCTCGCCCTGTCCCTCATCCTCGCGCTGCGAATATCCTCGCTTGCTTCTGGGACCAAACTCCAACCCTACATGTGAGTAGATCCCGAGGGGATTTGTAGGGCAGGGGACTGCCAAGCGGAGGCTAAATGCAAGATTTTAAAATCAAGGGGGAAGGGAGGTGCAGGGAGGGCTTGGGGAGGGTTGTTTCGTGGTTCTTAATCCAGTACCAAATGAATTTAAAGTTAAAAGAAACTTAAAAGTCTGCACAGTCCCTGCCTGTAGAAGGTAATTCGCTGTCTTTGACTGAAGTGTTGCTATTGTGTGAGCACAAGAGGCGATTATTGTGCAAATAGTTTGACCTTTCCTCACAGAGCTGCTGTTTTATTGCACTTTGTGTCTCCTCGGTGCTTCTTTCCCCCCCTTTCCCCGTTACTCCAGGAGCACGTAGTCCTTTCTTTTTAATTGAATTTTACAGTTCCAGTTGGGTGTTAATCATTTAGCTTCTTTGGAAAACTTCCTCGCGAGCTTGGTCCCCTGCCAGCAGATGATCTCTGGATGCAGGGGTTGCTCTCATTCCTTTGGTAAACGAGCCCAGCGTTGCATGGTGCTGTCATGGCAAGCTGCTCCCCCCAAGGTTTTGGACATTTGGGTTTAGGAAAGCGGGAGCAGGGTCCTTTCCAGCAGCTTTGGCACGGCTTTTTCCCCCCATGTAAGGGATTTTGTGCCTCTGCTTTGACAAGCACTTTTAGGATTCTTGGACGAGGCACTGGAGACGAGCTGTGTGCCAAAGCATCAGAGAAAAGAAAATGCCAGCAGCTGGAAGTGCTGCCCCTTCCCATGGGCACCGCTGACGATGCCTGTGGCACACAGACCCGCTCTTTGGGGACACAAAACCCTCCTTCACTGGGACAAATTGCACCAAGCATCGCTGCTGCCGTGGTTTTGGAGACGCAGAGGGCTCAGGGGCGAGGCGTGTAGGTACCAGCAAAGGGAGGGGACAACCAAGGGGAACGTGCTGGGGTCCCAGGGGCATTTCCAGGCTGGCTGCAGCAGTGTCACCGAGTGTCCCGGGGCAGTGAGATGCCAGCTGTGAACTCCAGTCTCTCTGTGCCAGGCCACACGTCTGCGCGGAGCCGGAGCTGGCGCTGGTGGGGCGCCGGGAGCCCTGCGCCCGGGCGCACGCCCGCACGGTCAGGGTGTGGAGGCAGGACTGCGCGGGACGGAGCTGGTGCACGGGCTACGAGCGCAGGTAGGTGCTCTGCCATCGCGTCCTCGTGCCATAGCGTCGTGCTGCTCGGTTGTAATACCACCGAGGAGCTCGTGCCCTTCCGTCCCTCCACGGCAGCCAAATGGCCGTGTCCCCCACCTCCCCCTGCCCTCCACCTGCTTTCCTGGCCTCGCTAAGCAGCTACAGGCCTTTATAATATCACAGGAATGATTTCAAAGAAGCGTCTTGGACTAGAGACAGCTTTTAAGTCTCGAATTCAGGAATTCTTCCTAACCTGTAATTGCTGGTAATTACCTCGGTGATGATATCTGTGCAGCAGGAGGAAGGGAGCGAACAGAGTCCGGCTTTTGGCTGTGTTTAAGAGAGGACTTTGAAATGATAGGTGCCTGGGCTGCTGCCACTTCAAAGGCTGGGAGCTCTTCAGTCCCAGCCGTCCCTTTAGTCCTTTAATGTGCGTTTTTGACACTGTAAATCAAGGAGCTGAAAGGAAAAAACCCTGTATTGTGCTTCATTATAAATACCAGAGCAGCCCCGTGCTAAAACTCGGTCCCTGCCAGAAGCAGGGAGGTGAAGCCTGGAGGTGCTGCAAGGCGGAGCGAGGTTTGGCCGTGGAGTTTTAAAAGCAAGGAGAATAAAAGGGATTGCAGCCAAGCTGCCCCAGGAGAGATTTTGCTCCCTGTCCCTCGGCTCTGGGAAGCTCCTGGGCTGTGCTTTTGGGGGCTCCTGGCAAAGCGATGCTTCTGCTGCCGGTTGTGCAGCCTTCCCCAGCGAGCTGACAGCAGGCGGTGACTTTGCTTAGCCCCCGGTAACCGAACTGGGGGGTGACGGCGCTGTCCCTGGGGGCTGGAAGTGGATTTCCCAGCAGCAGGACACAGCAGGAGCTTTTAAGCCTGGGTTCCATTAGTTCTGGCTCATTCAACTCTGTCTGTGCCAGGGACTCCTGAAAACACGGAGGAAAACAGAAACGTCGACGATACTTTATCTGCTCTGCGGTTCTTTCCAGCCCACAGCATCCAGATACCCGCAGGCAGTCGGGGTTGTCAAAATATTTGCAGTTCCTTGAGAACCCCCGGGGGTGGCCGTGCCAAGTGGCGCTCACCCAGGCCGTGGAGGTTGTTCGGGTGCTGCCGGGGGCACAAAGCAGCCCAGGGCTCGTCCTGAGCTCTGCGGCCTCACCGGGTCCCTTAGACCTGAAAGGGTGAGAAAATTCCCATCCTGCACACCAGATAACCCAGCTCCCTGTCCCACGAGAGACAGAACAAAAAAGACTCCATGTCACCACGAGGGCATTTGCCTTTGTTTCTCGTATTCCTTATTTCTGACAGGGACTGGTTTTAGAGAGCCTGTGGTTTATCATATTTTTCTCCTGGAAGAAAACTGAAGAAAATTTTTTTCTTTCAGCCCTCTTGACCTAAATCTACCTACAAGTGTTCTCGTAGGTAGCACAGCAGAGCTGAGGAAGATGTTCCTTTACCCACTTCCTCCTGATTTAAATAGGAAACAAGGGAATTGTTGAGGATAGAAGAATGCTGTGGTCGATATTATTCTTTCTCTTTGCTTCTGGAACACGAGCATTGCCTTCGTAATTTGTCGACAGCTTGTACAAAAATTGGTATCTGCTGTCGTTTTCCTCAGCTGTGCTTCCATATGCTGGTTGGCACAGACGGGGAGCTGAAGGTTTCCTTCGCGGGAATCCGTGGTTCACCCTTGTTTCGCTCTGTTTGTAGCAACATTCAGACAAAACCAAACAAGGAGAACGAGTTAGGATAAATATTTTGGGTGGACATGTACAGCACATCTGCTGTGCCAAATACTTGTTGTTGTTTGTCTGGTTTGCTTTGGTGGAGCAGTTTTCATGTTCTGCCAAGGAAGCTTTTTAAAATTCAGCTTCAAAAGTTTTATCTCTGTTTCAGTTTTCGCATACACACAACAGCAGAATTCCGGGAGGGGGAAGAAAAGTGTCGCTTTTATTTATTTATGTTCCAGATCAATCCCCGCTCTCCTGCCCCAGCCAGAGCTACGACCCCTGTTGCCTGCACCCCTGGTTCTGCAGGAATTAACGCTGTCCGGGCCATGTTTGCTCTGTTTCAGGACCGTGTACTACACGGGCTACAGGCAGGTGTACGAGGTGCGGTACCGGACGGCGTACAGGTGCTGCCCGGGGTGGTCCCAGCTCGCAGGCGATGCCGGCTGCCTGTACCGTAAGTACCCGCGGCTCCGGGTGCCACCAGCACTGTCCTTTTGGCTGAGGATGCTCATTTCAAGTCCCGTGCCTCCAGGAAATGCTGCAACAATGCCTTTAAAAGGAACTTTGTGTTGTTGTTTGTCTGTGTTTTTTAACTTTTTATTTATTTGAGTTGTGTGTCAGATTTTCCTCTGGCTCCCCAGCAAGCCCCGTGTTTGCTTTCCGTTTCTGCAGAATTTCCCCCTTGCAGCCTGGAAGGGTTGTCAGAGGCGCGTTCATTTATCCGGCTGCCAAACGCTGTTAAACATTTAAAGCCCAAAGTGGTGATTTAAGTGGTGCTGTTGGCAGAAGCTCTGGAAAGCGATGATCCAAGTCCTGAGTGGACTTTTCATTACCCAGCCCCGTAATTGCTGCCTGTGTGACGGCGTGGCGAGGGCTCCTCTGCCCCCTGGTTGCTCTCGCTCAGCATTTTGAGAGGCTTGTGTGCCGGGTCAAGGCAGAATCTCATGCGTTCCCTGTGTCAGGGTCAGGCTCTGGAGGTGCTCTCCAGCCCGCACCATGGATGAGAAGCTCTGGTTTCAAGTAATAGGCAGGGAAACCAACAAAGCTCTTGGGATCCAACCTGCCTTGCCATCAGGGGGATGAAAGCCAGCAGTTTCCAGCCCCATTGTAGAAGCGGTTTTGATTGCAGTTGACCTACAATATAGGAAAATGGCTCCTGTGCTGGCCGCCCTTTGTTCTGCAGGCAGGCTGCCTGCAGCTTCCTCGCACTTTGATGCTTGAAGAAAAAGCTAAAAAAAAAATAAAAAATAAAATAAAGTGTCTAGCAAGCCAATCTTCATTCTTCCTGCTGAAGAACCCAACCCCGCTGTGCTGCAGGAAGCGTTGCGGTGCCCAGTGAGCCATCAGTGAGCATTAACAACCTCAGGTGAACTCCGAACCGTGGCTGCCTGGAGGTTTTCCTGCAGGGGACGCGAGGGATCCCAGCAGGAAGGAAGAGGTGACAGGGGAGCAAAGCTGCTCGGAGCAGGCTCCTGTGAACGGGAGCCAGGGGAGCTCCAGCACACGTGGGGATGAAATGCGGGGACTCTCCATACCCATTTCATACTGCTGGTGCGACAGGCGAGCCTAAATTCCCAGGAATAAAGCTGGGGCACTCACACACCTCAGGTGCAATATGTGCCGTGGGGAGCTCGTCTCTGTGCCCCTCTGCACAGCCGGGGGCTCCTCCAGGGATCGCCCAGGGTGGAAAGCTCCCGCAGCATCGCCCTGCATCGCCTCCCGAGTTGCGGGCTGGACTGGGACAAATGGTCCCAGCCAAGCCAGATCGGGAATCTGTGGTTGTGCCCCAGGTCCTGCCCAGCTCCTGGGGCTGGGATCTGCTGCCGTGATCCGCAGCCCATCCCGGGGACCTGGTTTCTGTGCCATCAGATCTCCTGTCCGAGGGGCTCGGTGCTGGCGGGGGCGTGATGGCTTTTCCTGCTGGTGCGAGCACGGGGACATCTCCCTCTGGGCCCACAGGGAGCGTAGGAAGGGCTGGCCGAGGAAATGAGTCAGGAAAATCGGTGAAGTGCTGAGGCAGGGAAACACGACCAGGGTGTTATTCGCATTAGCGGATTTTCGGCGCTGTGAGCAGCAGCCACGGGCCCGCCTGCCCCCTGCTGCAGCGCAGGGCGGCGAGGTTGTGCCAAACCATGTCAGCGGGATTTGTGGCCCTTCCTGCACGCCTCCAGAGACCACTGGTGGTGCTCCAGCAGCACAGAGGGGGGATCGCTGCAGGCAATTCAATTGCAGCGGTCGGATGCCGTGAGGTGGAACCATTCCATGTGAATTTGTCTTGTCCCTGTCGTGCTGTGAGCCTTGCAAGGCAGCCTCGATGGGCTGAGCATCGCCAGCAAATGGGCACCGTGGAGCCAGGCTGGGATCCACTGCCTGAAGTCTCATTTTTTGGTGATTTAGGTGAAGGAGTCAGGGAAAACGGAAGAACCTTGCTGTACATTTTGAGCACTGCATTATTTCTAGTAGCATTGAGGCAAGAAAGAAGGAAAGAAAACTTTGGATTGTGCTTCTTGCAGATGTGGAGAGTGAGCAAAACCAAAAAGCTGCAGTGCCTCAGGAGGTTTTGGAGCACAGCTGGACGTGGGAAGTGCCACGAGCCCTCTCTGCCTTGCTGTGTAGGAGGAAACACCCCGGGAACTGTGTGTGACAGCAGGCACGGTGCAGCTGGGCAGGGGCTGGAGGTGGTTTCCCAGCTTGCAGCGAACTGCTCCAGCCGGGCAGCCTGTCTGGTACGGGGTCACCTCGGTACCTGGGGCTGCACAGCTCTGAAAAGTGGCTCAAGCATCAGATCAGGAGATAACTGGCCTTCTGAAGCAACATTTCATCACTGTCTCATTAGTTTGGGTGGGTGAGTGCGTGGACTTCAATGGTGCCTTTGTATTAGTAAATAATCTTTGTTTTGGAGGAGGGGGGATTTGAAAACTCATCAGGTTCTTAAAAAAGCCAAGACTGAGGCTTAAGTGTGTTAGCTGTAATGCACCCAAGGCGCAGAGCCCGGGGAGCTCAGGTGTCAGCGGGAAGGGGACTCGGAAGGAGGCAGGTACAGAAAGCTGAGCAGCGCGTGGGAAGTAAGGAGAGAAGCCAGTGTAATTGCTGATTTCTCTGCCGTAAATGTAGGATACGATGTGAGGAAGCCAGCCAGATCCAACGAGTTTTATCAGGAGGTCTCTCCGCCTGGTACCTTTTCATAATTTTTGCTTTGGCGTGTTGGAAATGAAGAACCCCAAGCTCTTGGGGCTGCTCATCTGATGGCTCCATAGAGAGGCTGGATGTCCCCAGGGCATCTCCTGAGAATGCTGTCTGCTCTCTGGGCTTTGAGCAAGTAAAAGAAGCGACAGAGCACACATCGTTACAGTAGGGGTGTGTCTGTGTAGCAAGGGTGCGAAATTATAGGACGTAATATTCACCGAAACGTTGACAAAACCGTAATCAGTGCAAGCCAGACGGAAAGCGTTGCACGAGACAATGTTGAGATTTAGCACAGGGGGGGAATTAGGAAATCAATTGTGTTTCTGTAGGAAAAAACAGCGCCCATATTTGATATATGGGGCAATGAGAATAGTGGGAAATTTGGTAATGCGGTTATTAGCTTTCCATGCAGGGAAGGCTGTGGCTGATTGCATTGTGGTGTGAGCTGTGTAAATACATCCCAGCGTCCTGCCCAAGGGCTGAGCCCTGCAGAGGTTTCACCTCGCACATGAATTTCGTGCAAGGAGCTGCAGACATGGGATAAAAGCAGCCAGGAGCGGGACTCTGCACTCTGTGGGAGATGTCCTGCGATTTTTTCTTATATAGAGAAAGCCTGGAAGATGTTCTTCACCCTTTGCATCTCCGGAAGGACACCGTGCAGGGCTGGAGCTGGGACATCAGCACCGAGCCACGAAAGGCTGCACCCAGCTCCCTCCAGCTCCGTCTGGGCCATGTGCGCTGTGCTCTTTCTAGTAAATTTGTGTTTCTGAGCCAGCAGGCTGAGGGTTGCCAGGTCTGTCTGCTGTAACTCCAGCTACTTGAAATAATTACGGGCTCTGGGTCTGCGGGACACGAGGGCCTCAAAGCAGGTGACCGTGACAGGGCTGGCAGCAGCGCCGCGTCCCTGCCAGGGCTCCCCAGTGCCAGCACAGCACACGGGCACCCTGTGGTGGAAAGGGAAGGAGGAAAGGAGTAGGAGAAAAAAAAAAATAGAGAAGCTGGCCAGCAGCACAGAAGGTCTGTGAACAGAGAAAATTGCCTTGTCCAACCTTTAAGTGGACTTGAAAAGGAAGGCGTTGTGCTGCGTCCTCACACTGCCACAAAGCACGGCAAACACGGCATCGTTTGCTAAAAGCACTTCTGAGATGAGCGCTTTCTAGTGGGAAATATAAAATGTTTGCTGCATTTCATGAGCTTTAAGAAGTGTGTTTCGTTGGGAAAACTTGCTCCTGTTTGTGGCTTTATTGGGATGTTTGAAAAGGTGGATTTCAAAAGCCTAATTGAGCATTCTCTCTCTCTGTGTTCATTTCACACTTCACTGGGTGAGAACAGAGAAATGCGGCTGCTCGGGCTTCCTTGCAGTTTAGCTCCGTTTCATTCTCTGGTCCACTCAAAAGGTGACACCACGCCTGGACGGCCGGCTCTGCAGGAAAGGAACGCGGCTGCTGGTGCTTTTTTTTTTTCCTTAAGGACGCCTCCAGTTTCAAAGCAAGTTATCATTGCTGGTACGAGGTTGGGTACGATTCCTCGTGAGCCATTTTCCTGATGATTTTACCCACTCGCTGGCTGGCACTGCGTTGTTTTAGGAGTAGAAGTGAGGTCCGTTGGCTGCTGGAGAGCAGCCGTGGGCGCGCATCACCGTGCAGGCAGGACAAAGCATGCGCCGGGGAGCGAGCGAGTTAATTGCATGGTTCATCTCTGGCTCTTGGGGGCAGAAATAATCTGAACCCTGATGAGAAGGTTAATTAGCTGTATCGCTGCCTGCCCACCACAAGATACGGGGCAATGCCCATTCTGATGCAAGTGGTCTTTCATCCAGCCCACCACAGGACCGGTTTGTGAGAGTAGCTTAAAATAAAATAAAATTGTAAGCCAGTTGTTTTAGCGAGTGGCACGGCTGGCAGCAGGGACTGGGGAAGGAGACGAGCGCCCTGCCTCCAGCCACTCAACCAAGCAGTGTTTTTATTGTGCTTCCCATCCGACAGCTTTGTTGTGCTTTGAAGGCGTCACTTACTCTGCAGAAAGCCCCAGCGAGGTAAGGAGGCAGGGATTAGATTAATTCCGTGCTCAGCTGAAACCCAGCCAGCGCTGGCCCCGAGGTGGGAGCTGTTTCCCTTCCTATGGCACCTAGGTTTTAGGACAGATGCCCCTCAGAAATGTTCAACGGGATTTTTGTAATTATTCAGGTTTGCTGCAGGGCTTTGGGAACTCAGCGCGTGGGCATTTATTAGCATAGGTGCACTTCTGCTCCTGATCTCCAGTTATTCTCTCTCTCCCCCCTTGCAGCTGCCTGCAGTGCCGGGGTTTGTTTCAACGGAGGGAATTGCGTCGAGGGCTCCTCGCAGCTCTGCCTCTGCCCCGCTGGCTTCCAGGGCCCTCGCTGCCAGTTCGGTGAGTCGGCTTTTCGAGTTCTTCCTTTGATTTTGGGTCAGAAGTGGAGGAGATAAAGAATGAGGGATACCCCAGTATTTTTTTTTAATCCTTACTGGCCATTGTTTTATCTGCCTAACTCCGATAATCTTCCCTCTACTTTCTTTGGCCGCTGTTAGTAATGTTTGGGGAGTTTGGATGGTTGGGAAGGAAACGCTTATCAGGCCTGGCTGTGAAGCACAGCCCCATCGCTCCGTGCTGCCCTCCGCAGGGGCTGTGCTGGGGGCCAGGAGGAAGCCGATCCACCTCAGGTCAAACAGAAACAGCCCGAGTGAGCCCAGCAGTGGGCTGCCACAGCAGGAGGGGAAATAACTGCGCTCTGACCAACTGCACGGTTACATCCTCAGCTAGGTCTAGGTGGGGGCTGCTAAGATTTATTAATTAACGTTTGCACAGTACACAAATTCTCTCTTGCAGTCCATTGAGTTTCTTACGTTTGGTAATTCAGAGATGTTTTGATTTGGCAGCAGAGCATCCGCATGGCAAGCGACCACTAAGTGGGACGGGTCTGCGTGCCGCAGGAGCTGGACTTCTGCTGAGGAGGGCTGGGGGGTCCCTGCCCAAAGCCCCCACCTTGGGGCAGCATCAACTCAGAGGGGCTTAAAAGGCCCGCAAGGATCATTTAGACAAATCCCATAAAGAAAGAGGATTCTCTCAATCAGCTGCCAACCGTAGGCTGGCCAAAACCTCCTCGATGCTGTTGGCTTTGGGCTGCCTCCAGCCCTTGCTCGGTGTCGTTACCTGAGCTCAGGCTGTGTGTTTGCAGCAGACCCCGAGGTGCCAGGTGTGGGTTTGTGTGCGATGGTTACCTGCCCCTGCCATGCCCAGTGGTGGCACCAGTCCCTAATTCTGTGATGAATCCCCCCAAAAAAAGTCATCTTGAGCCCCTGCACGCAGGTCTTGCCCCTGGGGCTGCTGTCCCTTGGTGCTCGTGCTCCGTGCCCTCGCTGCCCGGGGCGGTGTTGGCGGCAGTGGTTTCCCTTCGATGAGTTCAGCTGAGATGAAAAGGAGACTGCTTAAAAATAATTTCCTGTTTGTTTTGCTTTGTTTCTAAAACAGTCAAACCGCAGACATAATAGCAGTGCGAGTCCAAATTATTTATCCAGCCGGTGACACTCTCCTATCTTCAGTTTAAAGCCACGATGTAAAGCACAGCTTCTCTCTCTTCCTTTCACCCACAGAGGGTTGGAGCACAGCTACTTCTCAGAGATGTACGTGGTCCCGTCCTGCTTAGGCTCAGAAGAGACATTGCAGGGTTTTCCAGGAAGCAAACAGTCCCTAAATTGTCCCTGCATTTTTTTGTCTTAGCTTCTGTCATGCAAATTAATGAAATAAACATCAGATGTCTTCCCGTACAGAACCTGAGAGGTAAAAAAAAAAAAAAATTTGGCATTTGGAAATGTTCAGCAATTCCCACAATTATAATTGGTTGCAGCTTTGAAAATAAGGAGCACATTTCTGAGACCCCCAAACGTTTTCTCTAAAAGGGAAATGAGCGATTTTTTCAGGAGAGGAAGAAAGTTCATCTGTGGGTTTACAAACATTGCCCCCCTTGGAGGAGGAGCCTGAAGTCAGTGCTTTGGGTCGGATTTGGAAGGCTGGGGATTAGGTTTTACTGTCCTCCAAAGCTTTTTGAGGCAGACAGGGAGGACAACAGCAGGTTGTGGGGCTGGCATGCTCGGGATGCTCTGGCTCTGCCGTGGGTTTCTGCAGGGCTGCTTGGCAGCAGGGCTGGGAATGGGATGGGGCCACCCCGGTGCTCTGGAGCTCACATCGGCAGTCCCGCGGTGCCAGGCACAGGTGGGATTATCTTCTTGGTACATATTATCTTCTTGAGAAATGCTGCCCCCAAACAGAGCTGGTTAGCATTTGACTGGGGTGAGTCTGGATGTGGTCCGGAGGCTTTGGAGGCTGCTCGATGAACGCAGCACGAGTCAGCCCTGGGTGCACGACGCTCTTGTCATTCGTCTCCCAGAAACCTGTGTCAGATCCTAACGGTATCGCTTCTTTTCTGGAAAGAAATACAGAAATGTTTGCTTGAAAAGCAGGACGTTCTCCATCCTGAACAGGCCCTTATCATCGGATGTTTTTGCTGGCCAGCCTGGGGCCGCGGCCACCCGCTGTTTACCCTGGCAGGGAGCACGGGGCCAGCCCGACCTGGGGCCGAGGTGCTGTCCTCCCTCGTCCCCCGAGCTGCGGGACGTGGGACTGCCTGGGCACTCCTTCTCTGCAGTCCCTCACCTCGGTGTGTGCTCACCGACTCGTGCTCCAGCTCGCGTGACTTCCCCAGCCCGAGCAGCTCCCAGAGCCACGTTTGGAACAACAGCAGGAGCCTGTGTTTGGTGTTTCATAGTTTCACAGTTCGCAAGGCCAATTTAAAATCCGTTTGTGAGGTTAAATAGCGGCAATTGTTCCTTGGCCGACAATTTATTGGACAGATTCCCCTGTTAATAACAGCCAGGCTAAACGAGGCAGAGCCCTTCTCCAGCAGCCACGAAGCCGAGATACTTTTCTTAGCAAGCACCCTGCTGGTTCGCAGGTCTGCCTTGCTGCTGGGAGGGGAGAAGAGCCTGAGCCCAGGGGAGCTTTCTCGAGTCTGCAGCCCCGCTGTGTAGTGGTGCCTGGCTGGGATCACTTCTCTGGCTGGCTCAGAAAGGCCACGGAACAAGGGCAGCTTGTGCAAAGCTCCGCTCGTCCTGCGCTATCTGCTTGTCCATCGGCCAAAGGCGAGGTATTTAGCAGCTGGCACGCAGGTAGCGCCGGGCTCTTTGAAAAAGTCAGCAAGAGGAAGCGAGCCAAGGTTGCGCAGGGGTTTATTTATAAAAATTAAAATAAAAAGTCACGTCTGTGGAGTGAGTTTTGAAGAAAAAGGAAAGTGTGCTGCAGCTGTGGGCCAGGCTGGTGCCTGCACAGGGGGCTCCTGGTGCTGCCCTCGTGCCCGCGGGACGCTTCCCGCAGCGCTGCCAAACCTTGTGCAGATGCACGGGACTCAGAATAAGTTCACAGTTTATATGGCTGGAATTTCTAGAGGTTAACTAGAGTGCAGCGAAAAGCCCTTTGGGTGTACGCTGACACGTTTAAAGCTGTGTGGCTCTGCCCACGAGTGATGTGGCAAAAGCATCACCGAGAGGTTTGTGTGAAGGAACCTGGTGGTGGCTGAAGGGGAACGGCTGGTGGAAGAGACTGATGTCCTAAAGGCTGTCGTGAGTTCAGGATATGGCTTGCTTTGTTCTGTTCAAGCTTTCCCTGGGTTGGGTCAGGCCTTTACTTTGAACTTGAGACTGAAGGATTTCGTTATCGTTTATATTGGGTGAAAGAAAATGCACGGCTTGAGTCCTTTAGATGAGCTGTGGCGCTCTGCTGAGATTTTTGGCGAATAAAGGAAGGAGGAATCATTCCATTGGCACCGCAACGGTTTGAAATTCTCATGTAGATCTTTATTACTATGTTAAAAAGGTGCAGGACCAAGTCAGTATTCAGGCTGAGAAAGTGGGAAAGAGAGAAGCAGGAAAGAAAAGCATTGCTGTAAACCCTCCTGGAATTTTTAGAATTATCTTATGCTTAAATATGCAACATGGTCTGTCGTAAATCTTCAGTGCTTCATGCTTTCAATTTCTGGTTTTGGAAAGGTTGGAAAAAGCATTTTTTTATTCATTATGTGTTGCCTTCTCTGAGGCCTCCTTTAAAGGCTCTGCAATAGTCGATAACATCTCTTAACCAGATTCTGGAGCTCCTTATCTCCACTGCAGCCATGGGTTTTAATTTTGCTTCATTTGCTGCATTTCCATCTTCACTCTCCTTTTCTGTATGGTCTCAGTGTTGCAGTGTAATTCAAGTAATAATTCAAGAAACATCTATCTTTTGAGATTCCAGTCATTGCAAATACTTTTTTTTCAGGAAGATGCTCTGAGGACTGCAGCTCCAGAGGTGTAATTAATGAGAGTTATGTGAGGAGGGGAGGACACTTGCCGTATACCCTCGCTCCAAATTCAAGTGCTTGGATGCTTTGTGCATTCCTGTTGTCCTCTGAAGTTTTTTTTTTCCTTTTAACTGGAGCTGGAGCTTGCTGTTCTGTGCAGCCTTTCACCAGACTAAGTCATCTGATAACTGAGGAGGAAAATCTTCCTTTGGCAGCCCCCTCAAACACGTCGAGGGTGGCACCGGCCAGAAGGAGGGGTTGTTACGATCGCTCGTCACTGCCAAGTCTGTTACAAAACTCACATGAGAAATGGTGTCTCTGAAAATAGATCGGCGAGTCCCTGACCCGGAGTTCAGAGGCTGAGCCCGGGACACTGCGAGCTTGTGCCCGTGCAGCTCCTTTGTTCTCGGGGCCACGGGGCCGGGTCCAGCTGGCAGGACAGGGCCGGGGTCCGGGCACGGGGGCAGTGCCCCGGGGAGCACCCGACGTGCCGGGGCTGTTCTGCGCTGAGATTTTCCAGTCCTCGCTGGGTTGATTTCCCCCCAGACGTACTTAATTTTATGGGACTTCAGTTTCTTGTGGTTAAACCCGCTCATGCAGACACACGTGCTGTGTATGGTTGTGCAGACGTTTTTTCTTTGCATAATTTAGTGTTCATGGGGCCTCTGCAACCCCCTTTAGGTTCCCACTGGCTGCAAGGACACCTGTTAGACCCCCAGTCTCTATAAGGCAGCCAAAAAACTGTTTTTGCATGCCAACAGGTGTTTCTAGTTTGGTGTATGTGAGTGCACATTAACTGTCTTTCTGCCCCCCTCACTCCAGCAAATAAAACCACGGCTGGGTCTGGAAGCCCTGCAGGCAGCCCTGCTGTGGGTGCCAGGGAGCCCGGACCAGCTCCCTCCTGCATGGCCAGCCCTCCAGCACACTCCTAATCTGCCAACCTTCAGCAAAGCAACGCATTTGTGGTGTTCTTGCTGTCTGTTCTGACAGATGAGCTGAAATCCAAGTGTCCTGCAGCCCTCGGGATGCAGTCGGACCCAGAGCTGCTGCCTTTTGCCTCGCCTGTACCCACACAGATCACCGAGCTCCTCCAGCTCTGCCTGCATGTGGTCAGTGGCCATCTGTAGTTTCACAAAGGAGCTGATTTCTGATGCTTTTCACCTGAAGTTTGCCCTTTTCAGGTGCCTTCATCACAGGCTCCTCAAGGAGGTTTGTAAGCAGGAGGGGCTGAAAACTTGCGTTGCTGATTTGAGGTGGGAATCCAGTTCATATGGCCCATGCTAATACAAATAAACAGTGACAATAAAGTAGAATAGCCCATGCTTTGAAGACTGAAATAGTTTTGTTGTTGTTTGTTTGTTTGTTTTAGAGATTTAAGTGGTATGCTTAAGGAGTGGATAGGACATTACCAGGGATCCTAACTAGTTCTTGGCTCTTGCATGCAGGAGCTGTTTCGAATCACTGATAATGGAGGTCAGTGGTGCTGGTTCATGGTCCTAATCTGATTGTCAGAGATCAAAGGGCCAAAATAATACCGTCTGCTGTACTAAAGGCAGCTGATCAGTAGGCTGCTGGGTTCCTTTTGCTGTGTTAACAATGCAGTGTGCAGTGGATAAAGAGGAAGGGTGGGTCTTAAGCTGTTAAAGAGAATCCAGGCGATATTGTGCCTTTCCTCGGCATACCATTGTGTTTTGTGAGACATATTGGATTTCAGCACAGCAGATGCTGAGATAATGGATGCCAGATGCATGTAATTAGAGGATACCTCTTTTCACCAGCTGCAGATTGTCCACCACTTCCTCTACTGTACATTTTCATCATGAGAAGCTTGAATTCTCACAATCTTCTGGTATCTCAGATGATACAAGGCTTCTCTTTAACTGGTAAGTGATGGTCTGGTGTAGCCCAAACCAGCCACACAGGGAAAAGTCAAATAATGTATTTTGATTTCGGTTTGTTCAGGAGCTCAGTTATGATTTGCCTTGGTAAACTTGCCTGGAAAATTATATTCTACATTGAACTTGAAAAATGAATCCCTAGAAAACTCCAAGGATTTAAGTGAAAGAATGCCAGGGATGTTTTTGCACTTATGTGAGAATAAGACATGGCTATTCACTTTGCTGTCTCTAGTATAACAGGATATGTTCTTTAAAAATGCATGTTTTTAACTTCAAGAATGTAAGTGGTTAAAAAGAGGACACTAAGTGATGTAGACAGTATGAATACAGAATGCATCATAGCATATTTAGCGATAAGTTCATCATGAGGATATTCATACTGGATGCAGGATCTTAATCAGAAGGAATCTGAGGCTCGTGTGAGATTTTGTATTTTTGTCTGATACATCTCCATCATGCATTTATTTAGTTCTGTGAATATTATGTTTTCTAAGTCTTTTGAAGTCCTGCATTTATTTCCCAGACAGAAATTTTTGAAATGCTCTGTGAGGTCAGTTTTCCAGACCTACAAAAATGGTTCAGTAGGAAGAAAATAATTCCACTGACTTATTTTGCCACATTTTCTCTACTACTCTGAACACCTTTGTCCTTTGTTGAACTTCCACTCTGGTTGTTCTGTCTCAGACCGATGCTCGTGCGGTGCTGAAGCTGTCCAGGTCGCTGTGTGGTGCTCCTGCTGTCACGTCGCAGGAGATGAGGAAATGAGGATGCTGGGCTCGGGAAAGGAAAGCCTTTGGGGATGTTTGTAGCACCACTTCCCATTCCGCAGTACTGAAACCTTTCGTAGCTGGAAATGCAGAACCCTTCTCCTGCAGAGTATTGGCTTTGATAAAAACATGAGAGATCTCTTTTAATGTCACAGCAGAGACTGGTGATGTTTGACACGTGTAGGAGAAACAGATGTAGAAAATAGATTTGGGGAGACAGCAGATCAAGTAATTTAGCCAGTTTAAAATGATTTAGGCATCATCTCCCTCCAACGCTGTCTGGGAAACTCCTCTGACTTGCACAGTTGAAGACTTGCTCCCAGTAAATAAATACATTATTTCCGCCTTCATTTTTTCCAGTCATTCAGATCTCACCCCATTAATAGTGAAGATTTTGGAATGTCAAAAACTTGGAGTATCTGCGTCTCGGAGCTGTACAATAGGTCTCTGTGGCAGGCGGGCCCTGAACCCATCTTTCTGCATGGAGGTGTTGGATTTGCCCTGTGATTCTCATAGCCTGCACAGCACTGTGAGGGGCTGTGCCTAAAAAACATTGCTAAATTTAAACAACAGCTTCTTCAAGAAGCTGAATGAATTTCAAGTTTAAAACATTACATTTGGCTTTTTTTTTTTTTTTTTTTAACTTGTGAATTTAGTAAGAAACAAGTAGCAATGACCCTTTCATTAGAGACAAAGGGAAGTGTGTATAAATGTCTTTTGTGGCTTGGCAGTAAACTTGCTGAGGACAACATAAAACGTGCTCATTAAACGTTCTTTAAACAGTATTGCTTTTTGTTTTCAGAAGCAATGTGGTGTTTCATCCCACCATTAATTGCCTAATACCAATTATGGCATAAACAAGCCATTTGTTATTGTAACTTTTTCCATGTATTTTTCAAGGTTTTTACTCTTGACACCTATTATGCATCCGGGAACAGAAGTGGCTTTTGTCATGAAATCTAAATAATGAGATCAGTAATCAACAGTTTTACATAGACAATCTTGTACTATAAATGCTACTGCAGCTCTTGAGAACTTTACAAAGTGCTTCCCCCCTCGGCCACTTTGTAGTATTGACCTTAATTATATTGAGACAAAGAGACGAGGAGAAGATTATTTTTTCCCAGGGACTCTCCAGTTCTTCAGAACAAAATGTGCACTGCCCATTGTGCGCTAGCAGCTGAGTGAGCAAGCCTCAAAAAAGAGGTACAGTTTGCATTAGGGTCACATATGACTAGAAGTCTGCAAAGTGCCTGGAAAGACAAGGTCTGCTGATCTGTCAGAGCTGAGCATTCTGGTTCTAACCTTCTTTAGCTTGAGAATGTAATCGTCTTTGTCGTATTTCATCATTTCTGACTCTGTTGCAGCCAAAAAATGGGTGTTTGCTGGAAGGAGTAGCTGACAATCAACACAGCAGAGCTTTGGAAGATGCTTGGTTTAGGATTCCTTTAAAACAAAGTGTGGCTCTTGGAGCTTCTTATTCATATCAGTAAGTTTAAACCCAATTAGTGAAACGTCTGAGTGTCAAACCACTTCTTCCAGTGCCTGTAGCTTTCATTTCTTACTTTGGTAGCAGAGCCTTCTCCTTTATCATTGTTGCTCCTGAAAACATGTTGCTGAGCCCTAGCTGCCCAGCTGGGCGTTCTTTGCCAGGTCATTATCAGCGTCTGCTCAATGCAGTTCTCTTTAAAGCTTTTGGCTTTAAAGAAAAGGCCATAAGTCATACTTTGAAACCCCACTGTAGTTCATGTTATCTTCTGTCAGCCTCTTAAGCAGTCCTGCCCGACAAAGCCAGCAGCTGGAGGAGCTTACTGTGAGTGCCTTGTGAGACCGTATGAGTTAGTTATGATGATGAGCTCATCGCAGGATCTGTCAAATCACTGGTTTTGCACCATTTTGCCCAGAAGCAAAAATGAATTACCCAAAGAAGGGATATTCAGCAGATAAACTGTCAGTGGATACTTTTGTTTGTGTTGCGTTTATGGCTAAATGTGCATTATTTGTGTTTGCATGTAATAGCATCTTAAAAAATAGCTCTCATATGTTCTTAGGGAAGCACTATATGAGAGGTGGAGGTTCTGGTTTCTGCTTGTTTTTAAGCATAAATTGTGGGGCTTATGTTTGCACTGTTAGGGCTTGACAGAGATTTATAAGTACTGTATCAGACTATATCCTCCTCCTCGTGGGGAAAGACCAAAACTAATAACTGAGAAGTTGGGAAACAAAACCCTCAGGTCTTAATGGGTGTCACTTAGGATATTTCTGGTTTGAATTCACTGGGGACTTTGGGCATGATACATTTATAAGCTCACAATATCTGGAGCTTTGGTAAATTAAAGGTGTACCTAGTTTGTTCCCAGACAGCATTTTTCTTGAAATTCTCTTGACTACATTCATTTTGCAGTACTGTTAAAAACAGGCATTTATATTTTGCTTGTATTTACAGGGAAAAAAAAAATATCACTTGTGGGTGCAGTATAACAGATCAGGAATTATTATGGTAAAGGGAATGATTCTCTCACAATTGTGAGAGAATTGTGAAATGTGTGAGCCCAGCATGGGCCTGGAGTTCAGCTCCCTGATTGCCTTGCCTTATCAGGCACCTAGCTGTCAGACCTGCCTCTCCTGGTGGCTTTGCTCTGGAGCAGGAGATGTAACGGGGCTCGATGCCTGCGGAGCACTGAGGGGATGTGCGGCTGGAGACGGCGCAGAGCCTGGCAGGAGAGCAGGAGGGAGCTGCCGCCGGCGTTCGCACCTTCGTACTCAGCCTTGGCAAGCACAGACGTGATCTCATGGAGCTGAGGTCACTTCAAAGATCTGGAAATTTTGAAGGAAGTCTCTTCAGCTCCTCCAGAACAGGAATATAGGTTTTTTCCCATGGGAGTCATCTCTCCGTCTTTCCATGAAATGCAGCTTTGGCCTTGGAGTGGAAAAAAAATCATCAAACACCAGCCCATTTGCTGAGCTCCCAAAGGGAAGTCTTGCAAAGCCTGCCAAGAGCAGTATATTTTTATATTGTATCCATGATATAAAGTGTCACAGAAAAATTCTCTCCATTATAGAGAGGTATTTATAGTCCAAGAGGAAAAGTAAGGTTTTACGGCAGAGCTTGAGAGTCTAACGTTACTCTCGCAGAGACGAGGCAGGCTGCTGCTGACTCGGTGGGAGCAGGTCCTCAAAGCACGAGGCAGCCCTTGGAAGAAATGAGCCTGGGTGAACAGCGCTCAGTCTTCTGAGGACATTCAGGAAAACAAAGTGGAAACTTGCCAAAATGTGTGGGCTGGGGTGACCACGTGCCCAAAGACAGGAGAAAGTGCGCAAAACCCACACCACCACTTTTTAAAGATTTAAGCTGCAAGTGAAAGGGGCAAGGTAGTAGAGAGAGAGGACTCCAGTAGAAACCAGTGACAGGAACTGGCAGAAAGAGATCATCTATGGAGCTGTGGGTGTCCTGCAGGGGGCAGAAAGCTAAGGAAATAGACAATCATTGAGACATCAAGATAAGTAAACCTGTTTGTTTTGAGTGGAGTAAGAATATTTGATGAAAATCTTCATCTCACCCCTTACTGGAGGCTGTGGGGAAGATGCACGGCACCGCTCATTATGTGCATGGAAGTACTTACAGATCTGCATAGCTATTATCTCTTGCAGATGTTCCCTCTTCCAGAACATTTGCACAACCTAAAAGAAATAATTCATGCTAATCTGACAGGTATTTACACGCATTCCGGGGAAAGGAGGGATCCGGCAAGCCCTTTGCTACTTCATTTCTCTTTTTTTCTTGGGGACGAGTAAATCTGTTCCTGGGAGATGGGTTTCTCAGCCTTTAGCTGGTGACAGGGATGATTATCAGGACATCTTTTGTTTTTTTGTTCTGTTATTTATTTCCTCCTTTAAGCAGATGTTCCTGGGAGCACTGAAGGGTTTTCACGCTCTGAAACTCAGCCAGATGACGTACGGCTGCTTTTAGGAATTAGGAGGATGGAGGGGTCACAGACATTGTCTTGAATCTCCATGAGATGGGGTTTTCCTCTCTCCCCTTGTAGCAAAGAGACGATGTGTTCCTGGGCAGGCACAGTTATTTGCCTAACTCCAGTGTCTCCAGAGATGTGGGCACACAGAGATGCAGCGTGGCTGCGAGCCCCGGGCACAGCAGGACCAGCAACAGCAGCCCTGTCTGCTGGGGCTCACCCTCTGTGCTCCCTGGGAGCCTGCCTGTGCAGCTTTCTGGTTTTTATTTTGCTGATTTCTTTTTAATGCAAGTGGCTATGCCCTGGTTTCTGATGGAGGAAAACCCAGCTGCCCTGCCTGCCGAGTGTCCCCTGGCCTCGCAGGTGGCAGGAGCAGGGTGACCGAGGACAGCAGCAGCAACTGGTAGGTGTCAGTCAAGCTATGCTAGCTCTGCTTAAAAACATATTTTGGTTGTAATTCTGTGTGAAATGAGCAGGTGAGCCTGAGGTGAGTCTCCCCAGGGGCTGTACAGAGCCCAGCCTCACCACATCAGGCTGAAGCAGACACGTTTGTAACCTGTTTTCTTGGCTGTAGCCTTTGGTTTGCCAACTGCTTTTGGCTCACCCATGAATTGCAGGCTGCCGGGGTGCCTGCCGGGCTGCCAGGCTGCTCCTGCTGTGACACTGCGGCTCTGTGACCCACCAGCCATTTCTGCTGCATTACCACACTAATGACTATTGGTAACATGGGCTTGCTCTTACAAAGAGGTCAGAAATGCAGTTTGGCCTCCAACTGTTTAGCTTCCTGCTCGGTGGTTATGTCATCTGCGGGGCCGTTTTATCTATTAACGTGTCGGACTCCTCCTGGCCTCGGGTTCTGAAGGCATGAGATGCTCTGGAGAGATTTTCTGCAGGCAAGGTCAAGCTTCCTGTTTTCTGCAGAACATGATGGCAGAAAAACAGGGGTGACAAGGAAACAAGGAGTCATTTTGTGAAATGAGATCACAACTGGTTGCAGTAGATTGCTATGGCAATACATACATGGCATCAGCTTTATCCGAGCTCTACAGGAAGCTAGAGCTGTGAAAGATAATCTGCTCCCTGCAGACCACAGCGGATCTCATCAGGCATCTTCTCCTGAAAGGCTGTGATTTCCCAGATTTCCCGGAGGTGCTGTCTGCCATGGATGTTTTTTTACATCTCTACATCTTGTGGATCAGGAAGAGGCAGGCTGAGGTCATCTGAGCACTCGGTATAACCCATGGAAAAAGACTGAGTTTATAGATGGTTAGTTGGGTTAGGATGAGAATCTGCTAAGGACATTCTGGAAGACGGGAAATGACATGAAATATCCTTACAGTTTCTCTTCTCTGCATGTCTGGTTATGTCCTTGTGTTTTGCAACTCGCCTTTCCCACCCTCGATGCCTTCCTGCCAGAAGCAGCCCGGTCCTCCTGAAGCAGGGGCTCCCTCAGCTGCTTCTTCTGCAGCAGTGGCAAGAACTGAGCACGAAGGAAGGGATCTGGTCTGTCCATGAGGCTCCGTGTCCTGGGTCTGGTCTTCCACTGGTCTGAGCTGCCTTTTACAGCACAGTTCTCTGATGTCAGCTCATGCTCGCTTGCAGCAGTAGGTGTTGAAGAGGAAAAAGGCAGGTCTTGGACTCTGAAACGGTCAGGAAATGGAAAATTTCCCTCTGCAAAAATAAATAATTAGGTAGTTAAAAGTCTTTTAAATAATAAAAAAAAAGAAAAGATGATGGGAAAAGGCACTGACAGCGTTTCTCACTAAGCAGCGTGCTCAGTTCCAGCCACACCACAAGTCCTGCAGCCCCGGCGCCCTCCCAGCACCAACACTTCTCCCAGGCAGCAGCAGGCGTCACACAGGGCTGTTGAGCGGGACAGATGGTTTCTGAAACACAGACTCAAAATCATTTTTCTGCTGGGGAGGTGCAGCCCAGCCTGGTGCTGCCATCGTGCTGAGGTGGTTTGTGTGGTCTGCCGTGCGCTTGCTTCTTACGGGCCATCAGGATGATGCACAAAGGCATTCCTTCTATTGAGGGTCGTGTTCCCTGAGCTTCTTCCCAAGAATGTGGC